TGAGAACTGCTCTACCACTTATACCAACAGCCTGAGCTGCTCATAGCAACAGATGCCAGTGGAGGTTGACAGTGGAGGATGATAATGAGTTTAGACTGAAGCAGGTGCTTTAATGTTAAGAAAAGTAGACTTTCAACTCAGGATATTAGAGGTACTCTTTTTGCTGCTACCCATCATGTTCCCTCTATTTTCAGTACATCCTGCTTTGCATTGTGTGACTGACCCCATCCATGTCCAACACCAATATTATCAGCCTGGGCACTTCATCATCGGTGGTATCACTTCACAGCTATTCTTACCCTCCTTCACTCCACTATACTTCAAGGAGAAGCCAAATGAAATGCTTGCTGATGAATATGCGTAAGAAGATTTTTCATTACTTTTATAAGTAAAAAAGTCCCAAGTCGGGAAAATACTAGATAACAGAAGCAATTTGCTTGTGGTGGCAGGTGCTCAATGAGACTTGTAAGATGGGAAGCAGGGAGACCAACAGTAGGTGGAGTTGGAGTCAATAAGGAGAAGAGACACCCCTGGACTGATTGTAAATAGAGATGGGGGAGTACTTTGATTTCATTCACAATTAAAAACAGCCTGCCTCTTTCACAATTGCTGGAACAATAGGGGAAGAGTCGGGCACGACTAAACGACTAAACAATAACAATAAAAGATCTATCCCTTCAAATTCGCACTTTTCTGAATTCTGCAATGCAGTTTTCCATCTAAATAGCATGTACAAAAATGCAAATGATAGGGTAAAGTGGCACTATAAATACATACTGTTTCTTGTTACAGACAGCATACAAAACTGTTGCAAAATTTCATAAAATCATGAGTATATTAGGCAAAATTTACAATGAAAGTGATGAATTTTCATGCATAAGCGTCATGAACAGAAAAGGATGACAAGTGGCGAAATCCACAAACTAATCCCCAGGGGTGCATTAGCAATTTTTTGAGCAGGTTTACTCTTTATATACAGTACTGAACATCATCTTCTTGCATTCTGTATATATTTGCTATGGTGATTCTGTGCATCACGGAGCAAATATTTAATGGAATTGAAACTCCCTTCTCTCCCATATGAAATAAATATACAGGTTTGATGATGGACAGTGTGGATTAGTCTGCAGACTATACACCAGCGAAAGCAGGAAAACCCATTATACGCATCATCTTTTTTCTCTTGCTTCAGTGCAGTGCCAAAGAACTACCAGCATGCCCTATCCTTAGTCTTTGCTGTGAAGGAAGTCAATGAGAACGCCAAGATTTTACTAAACATCACTCTGGGGTTCCAGATCTATGACAGCTACTTCAATGCAAGGATGACTTATCAGAATACTTTGAATCTTGTCTCTCGCCATGAGAAGACTGTTCCCAACTACAAGTGTGGTGCTGAGAAGAACCTGATAGCTGTCATTGGGGGTCTTGACTCTGAAATGTCAATCTACATGGATTCCATCTTAAGCTGCTACAAGATTCCACAGGTAACATGATTCTAATAGGGTTGAAGCATTCACAACTGGGACATGTTTTATTATTGTATATTCCCAGGCTTTGGATGTGAGTGAAGGGAGAAATGTGCGTGAAGGGAGAAAAGGATTTGTTACAAACACAAAGCAGATGACACTGATGCACTCGCTTTAGAGTGGGGAAGAGTCACCAGTTACAGCAAATAGGAAAATAGGTCACACACAAAAATATTTTGGTGTCACAGAAAAGCTTCTGATGAAAGCAGGGGGAGCTTGATGTCAAACATTTTTTTTTCAGTTGTTTCAATTAATCTCATGGTGAAATTGTTTATATGGTTTATACTCCAATATAAGGTCCAGTGGAAAACAGGAGAACGAGTGTAATATAAAACTCTCTGAGTGTCTCTGGACCTAGTATCAGCTCTATGTAGAACTTCTCATCACACTTGGAAAGTTCAGAAGAGGTTCTTAAGAATACAATTATCAATTAGGATTGGGCTAAGCGATCCTGAGCCCCATTGCTTTGTAGGATACTGTTTCTCAAATCATACTTGCTCTTAGCTTACACGCCATATGTCAGAGTCCAAAAGTTAAAAAATAGGATGAAGAAGAAGGATAATCAACAGTCTCTGGCACTAGGCCTTGATGTTAAAAGTTACTAAAATGACCAGCTTGAACAGAAACAGAGACTTAAATTCGTCTTCTTCGTTGGCGATCACTCGTAGCTGAGTAAGATTCTCTACCATAAACACTGTTTTAACAATGAGTTCGAAAGTGACCGTGGAGGCCAATTCTGGACCCACATGTCCTTCCATAGTGGGGACATTGGGGTGTGAGTTGATCACAGTGTGGATTTGCCAAGCGTGCCTTCCTCTTAACACGTTTCTCCCTTGCGTTCTGAGTTTGAGTGTCTTCAAAGTCCATGACACCTTTGGTAAAGGCTGTTCTCCAACTGCAGCGCTCGCAGGCCACTGTTTCCTAGTTGTCGGTGTTTATACTACTTTTTTTTTAGATTTGCCTTGAGACAGTCTTTAAACCTCTTTTGTTGACCACCAGCATTACGCTTTCCATTTTTAAATTCGGAATAGAGTAGTTGCTTTGGAAGACGATAATCAGTACAAGGAGCTAAACAGAACTTCTGTCTCTGCTGGGCTAATCGTATGACCTTGATCCCCTTCTCTCTCTCTCTCTCCTTTGTTCATGTCTAGATCACCTATTCTGCAGCACGGAGTGCAAAACAACATATTTCTTCCTTATACCAAATGACACCAAGTGAAGCAAATCAATACAATGGGATTGTTCAGCTTCTTGTGTATTTCCAATGGGTATGGGTTGGGATCTTTGTCACAGCTGACAATAAAGGAGAAATGTTTGTGAAGACACTGACACACCAATTTTCCTTGAGTGAAATCTGTGCAGCCAGCATTGAAAGATTGCCAAGTGCCAGTCATTTTTTCAACATTTATGATGTGGTGGAGAAATGTCAAGACGTGGCCATTTCCCTAAGCAAAACCAATGTCAATGTGTTTGTTGTAAATGCAGACACTTACACCATGAAGTTTTTGCAGTGGATGCTAATAGCAGGTGTAATGTTGAGTGTGAGGCCAATAAACAAGGTCTGGGTTATGACTGCCGACTGGGATTTCTCATCAGAAACATTTCACAGAGATCTGGATATACAAAACTTCCATGGTGCATTATCCTTTGCCATTCATTCCAGTGAGGTTAAGGGGTTCCACCATTTCCTCCTGAACCTAAATCCCCACTCTGAGGCCGATGGCTTTATCAGGTTGTTCTGGCAACAGGCATTTGGTTGCCAGTTTCTAGATGTGGAAACGGAGGAGGGATCCTGCACTGGTGAGGAGAAGCTGGAGAGCCTTCCTGGGGCTTTTTTTGAAATGCAAATGACCAGCCAAAGCTACAGCATCTACAATGCCGTCTATGCTGTGGCACATGCTTTGCATGCCATGTTGGCATCCAGAACCAAATATGGAGGGATGATGCTTGAGCACTATGTGGGACTTCATGAGCCACAATATTTTCAGGTAATGTCTAACACGGAAAGCAGATCATTTTTTTAATGAATAGCCCAATCATAATGTGCTTGGAGAGCACATACAGAGGCTTCCACATCCGCAGGGAATGTTGCTTTTTCATTCGGTTCTTTGGAAAGTTGTAAGTACAGTATTTATTATTATAAGGGCACAGAAGTGCTCCTAATGAAGGTGAGAATCAAACGCATGGTTCCTTGAGTATAGGCTGCAGAAATCTATTGCTAATAAAAAGTTGTCTCTTCAGAAATTAAGGATATTTGTTACATATTTCTTTTTACTATCAATAGATGGTTCAGATTTCAATGAGATCTGATATAAAATACCACAATTAAGTTTAAAAGTCTAACAAACACATTTGTAAACTCCCCCCCCCCTACACAAACCTGCCATATATTTCTATCCAATTGTGATAAAAACTACTGAAGTACTTTATTCTGGTTTGTCAAGGAAAACACACTTTCATTGGTTTGGTGAAATTCAATAAGCAGTTCAAGATTCTTTGTTGTATTACCGTATTTTTCGCCCTATAGGATGCACTTTTTCCCCTCCAAAAATGAAGGGGAAATCTGTGTGCGTCCTATGGGGCGAATACAGGCTTTCGCTGAAGCTTGGAGAGCGAGAGGGGTCGGTGCACACTTCAGGAAGCTATCAGCAAGCCTGGGGAGCCTGCGGGAGTTCCCACAGGGCTCCCTAGGCTGCGGATAGCAGCCTGCTTCCCGGAACGTGGGGCGCGCTGAAGCAGAGCGCCCCGCGCTTCGGGCAGACATTGGCCAGGCCCACAAGCTCGGGGGACAGCGGGGAGGCGCAGCGCCGCCATCCCGCAGTTCCCCGACCTGGTTTTGGGGGGGAAATAAAGGGGGGGAAATTCCTTTATTTTCCCCCCCAAAAAACTAGGTGCGTCCTATGGGACGGAGCGTCCTAAGGGACGAAAAATACGGTAAGTTGTACGGAAGCATGCTGGCAAATTTAAGCCAAAAGTCTTGCCAATATTGCAATGCTTGTATGTTTTTAGCAGGTACTGAAAAATGTTGAATGGAAATGATGATTTTAGGATTGATGGATATGGGTTGAGGATTAAATATGTAAATTAAAATTTAAAGCTCCTGTCCAAAATGTGTGGGGAAAATATGAGACCAAACAGGCTGTGAAGCCTGTTTTTTAGCAGAAGTAAAACCACTTATCCAACTTGCACCGTCCCGGAAGCTAGGAATTAGGAAATTTCACAATTTATACCTGTTTATTTGTGTTCTGCTGATCTTTCCTCACTTTCTACCTGTTGCTAAGAATAAACCACACAAATGTGAAAAACTAAAAAGGTTTACTTACATTCAATGAAGGCAGCTACTACTTCGAGGTAATTTTTTTTTCTTAGTTTCTAAAATGGAATTTAGACAGGCATGTCTCCCCTTAAAACTCAAGGGGAGTTTCAACAAATACTGTGAATTGATCCCAACATGAGAAAACAGAATCTTTGTAGTGTGTTCTCTATTTCTACCCAATTTACCATTCTCTTTTTTCCACTGAAGCTTCAACCTTTCCTGAGGAATATCTTGTTTAACAACAGTGCTGGTGACACTGTCTTTTTTAATGAGAAACGTGAGCTAGAAGGTGGATTTGATATTATCAACTGGGTAACTTTCCCAAATAAGTCCTTCTTAAGAGTGAAAGTTGGGAAGATGGATCCCCAAGCACCACTGGGCAGTGATTTCTCCATTGATGAGAAGATCATTATATGGCACCAGAGTTTTAACCAGGTAGGACCCAATTGCAGCTTCTGAGGTCTATAGGTAGACATTCACCAGATTTGTTTCATCATCATGTACACCCTGCTGAATGAGTTCCTTTTAGCTGCATTGATTCTTTGTATGGTTAGGGATGGGTTGTTTACATGCCACTCTAGTGATCTTGGTTTCCAGGGTTTGAAACCCTGCAGCTCTGCCCTCATTCACTGGTTGAAATGCCTAGACTATCTAGTTCAACCAAGATGTGTTGACCAGTGAAAGGTAGTTGGTGTAGTGTGTTTAGCAGCAAAGGGTTAGAGCCATTGCAATCATTCTGTGGAAGAACTTTTTAAGCTAAATATGCACAAATATTGGTGATTGAAACAACCATTGTAAAGTTGGTGGTGCTATTTGATTAAAACAAAAAACCTCTGGGTGCCTTATTTCAATTCAGAACCATGTTGATGAAAAGGCAAGGAACAAACACAAATAGAGTAGAATACATGCAATGACTTCTGTTTTATGGGCAGGTGGTGCCCCTTGCCTTGTGTAATGACCACTGCCATCCAGGTTACAGCAGACAAAGGAAAGAGGGGGAACCATTTTGCTGCTATGATTGTACTCCATGTCCAGAAGGGAAGATTTCAAACCAGACAGGTAGGGGACTGTATGATATAGTATATCAACTATATTGAGAACATGTTTTTTGTTAGCTATTTGTGAACAAATAGACGCCCTACAAAAGATTTGAAGATAAACCTTTACTTGTCCGGTTGTCAACAAGTATATTACAACACGTATTATTCATTCATATTCTCTCTCTCTCTCTCTCTCTCTCTCTCTCTAAATATTTGAATGCAATGTGCTTCTGTCCCTTGAGCCCAAGAGAGGGTTTAGTCCTTTTTTGTTTTCAAAGCTCCTTCATAGCAGAGCATAAGTTTATAATCAATATCTTACCTGTCCTCAAAAACTCCTCCAGACAGTGTTTGCTTGAAGTCACCAAACTCCCACGTTCTCAATCAAAGATGAAACTAACAGAAGAACCAACCAACCGGCAACTACCAACTACCTTCTTTTCCCCCCAATACCAGTTATTCTTTATGAAATATATTTACTGTTATTAAACCGAGGTACCACTGTACAATTGTTTTATCATAAGCAATATTATAAATTGCTAACCAGGATATTTTCTGCTTACCTCCACACCTGAAAACTTCATGGATTGCATGGAGAGCAACTTACTTATCACCAAAATTCTAGAAATGTCAATTCAAGAGTATTTTTTTGACCATATTGCTAGGTGTGTTAACTGAATTATATCAGCACCTTTAGTCTTCCGTTGACATTAGGCTTCCTTTCTGGGATAGGAAATGCTCTGAATATTGGTAAATGAAACTTCCTATTTTACAACCATTTCTACTGGTAAGCTGTGAAACATTAATGTTTAATTATTATTTCTCCGTTCAGATAGGTTGGAAAGCTCCTATTGCTAGAATGGGGACTTTTTTCTCTCTAAACACACCTTTCAATTCTATCCATGTGTAAACACAAACAAACATTTATGGAGCTTACCATTTAGATTTAATTCTCATTTAATTATCCACTGGAAAGAATCTTCCAAAATTAGCTTACCTTAAAAACAAAACATGTTAACACTCTAACAATTTCCTGAAAAAGACAATGTTTTGTATCATGTATACTATAAATTACATTCAATTATAGTACAGTGAAATTCAAGGTTTCCTGATCCTAAACCATAAATATTTGTATCTCAGTGAGACTGAAAATACTATAACTGTAATCCTGATTTCTTTATACTGCAAGATATGGATGACTGCTTCCAGTGCCAAGAAGATTGGTATCCTAACCAAGAGAGAAACCAGTGCATCAGCAAGAAAGAAAACTTCCTATCTTATGAAGCACCTTTAGGCATCAGTTTGGCTCTTTTGGCTCTGGCTTTTTCTGCAACTACAGCTTTGGTGTTTGGAATCTTCATCAAACATCAAAACACTCCCATTGTCAAAGCCAACAACCGGAATCTCACCTACACCCTGCTCATCTCCCTCCTGCTCTGCTTCCTCTGCTCCTTGCTATTCATTGGGCGCCCCCAGTTACTGACCTGCAATCTACGACAAACTGCCTTTGGTATTATCTTCTCAGTGGCTGTTTCTTCTGTTTTGGCTAAAACCCTCACGGTGGTTCTGGCTTTCATGGCCACCAAACCAGGATCCAAGATGAGGAAATGGGTGGGGACAAGATTTTCCACCTCTATTATTCTCTTTTGCTCATTTATCCAAGCAAGTATTTGTATAGTATGGCTGGGTACTGACCATCCATTCCCAGATCTGGACATGCACTCTCTGCCTGAAGAAGTCATAGTGGAATGCAATGAAGGCTCAGCCAACATGTTCTACTCTGTTCTTGGTTACATGGGATTGCTGGCTCTTGTCAGCTTCATTGTGGCTTTCTTTGCTCGGAAGCTGCCGGACACTTTTAATGAAGCCAAATTTATCACTTTCAGCATGTTGGTGTTTTGCAGTGTGTGGCTTTCTTTTGTTCCATCCTACTTAAGCACCAAAGGGAAGTACATAGTGGCTGTGGAGATCTTCTCCATCTTGGCCTCCAGTGCTGGAATCTTGGGTTGTATCTTCTCCCCAAAATGTTATATCATTGTATTCAAGCCTGAACTCAACTCAAAAGAGCAGCTAAAAAAGAGAAATAAGTAACAATCTAACTATTAAAATCATTATAGTGGATAACCTTTTACATGTTTTAAGGTTTGTGTGTTTGGGAAGGGTTCAGCTTTCATGTTCTCTTGATATAGATGTTGCTTACACTTCCAACATATATTTGAACTAGTTTTGTACATTTCCCCTAACTGCACTGGTGTTATATACAATCTGTACATCATCTTCATTTAATTCTCCTTCAATAGGGAACAATCTGTAAATTTTAAATCACTTTTCCATAATTTTCCCCAGTTTTCCATCACAATGTAGTGACCTACATCTTATACCCATTTAATCATAACTGATTTTACCTCTTCATCTTTCGTCTCCGATTCTAATAGTATACTGTATGCGGCCTTCAGTAATTTCACTTTCCCTTTGATCACTTCCGTTTGAGACCTAGATCTTGTATAACTAAATCCTTTCTTGCTGTCTTCTTTATGTGTTTCATATAGTTGTCGATAATGCAACCAACTCTGAAAGTGGTCTTTGATCTCATCATAATCTCTTAATTTCCATTTTCCATCATGTTCCTTTAATAAATCAACATATGTGAGCCATTTTCCTTTCTTTCTAAGTGGTTTGAGCAGTAATGCTTCATGTGGTGAAAGCCACAATGGGGTCTTTTGTTCCAATAAGTCTTTGTATCTCTCCCATACTCTCATTAGTGATTTCCTGTTTATATGGTTGTAAAAACTTCTATGAACCTTCCCTTTCCTGTACCATAAGTATGCGTGCCAGTTGAATCTGTTGCCATGTCCTTCTAATTCTAATGCCTCTTGCTTATCTAATCTCATCCAGTACCTGATCCATACCAAACAAGCAGATTCATAATACAATTTAAGGTCTGGGAGGGCAAACCCGCCTCTATCTTTTACATTTGTAAGTATTTTATGTTTTATCCTTGGCCTTTTGCCTCCCCCCCCCCCCCCAGATAAATTTTGAAATCTCTTTCTGCCATTTTTTAAAACATTCATCTTTCAGGATGAATGACAGATCACTTTGATCTGTCAACTTAATCCCTCATGTAGGCAAGAAAGAGGCCTTGTCCTGAACCCAGGCATCCTCTCAGGTAAGTCGTGATACTGCACACAGCGAGTGTCAGGATCTCGCAGGATGAGAAAGAGTAGTGGCAGCTAGTGGTCCAGGAGGCACCTGAAGGTGAAAGGGATTTTGAACCAAGTTCAGACTGGTGGAACAGGGAGGAATCACCAGCAGAGAGTGAGGGTGAAGGGGAGCAGCTTGAGGTAGCCACAGATGCTGATAGAGAAGGAGCGAGGGCTATGTCTCCTGCTCTGCAATACAGTCCTGATTCAGCTCCTTCCCCTGCTCCACTCCCAGCGCTAGATAAGAAGGGACGGGAAAAGGCTAGAATGATTAAGAAAGCTGAGTCACCATGAAAAAAATGCAAGGACAGAGGTATAAATAAGGGGGAGAGAGGACTGAATTTTAGCTTCTGCAACTGACGTGCTTATCTGATAGGTGTGCTGTGTGGTGACTAGTTGATTACTGAGCAATAAAGTTGATTTCTGCAATCACAGTGCCTGGTTCTGCTGAAAGCATCAGACAACAGACTGAGGGGTTTTTCTGGCAGCCTGACAGTGAGCAACAAAGTACTCAATGCTAATAGATGCCATGCTTGCAAAACTGAAAAGCAATGTTAACACTGGCCAAGTTCTCAGTGAACTATTTCTTCCTTCTTTTGTTAGTCAAGATGCTGGACCTGACCACTTTTTCATGCAAGGCATTTTCTATACTTTGGAACATTCCCTTCTCTGAAGCATAATGGAACACCAGCCTTTCCATTTTCCCCCATGGCCTGGCTAATCCACTATTATTTTCACACCCATTCAGATCTTCCTGAAACCAGGTGCTCTGCCCGATCTGTAATGCAACAGATAATATATTTTCAAGGGGGCAAAACATATTTTGTTCAATGCTTCTGCTGCACATGGTGCCACAGACCTAGCAACTCCACTGGGACTGTGTACCATGTTATTATCTTAACACACAGCAACTCATTCTTTCTCTAGCAGTATCCGTATGATAGTTTGAAGCCCTTATGCCACAGAGAAACAGCAGAATGCTTATAAAAAACCACCCCAGTGCCAATGACAGCTATTCTACCATTTATTTATAAACATAGACTAGAGCTGCTGAAGGGCAACAGGACAGAAGGTATGCTGACATTGGGTGATGACAAGCATTTTAGACTGAAACAGGTGCTTTATTTTTAAGAGGAGAACCTCCACATCTCAAGATGTTAAGTTTACCCTTCTGGACCCTACTCATACTGTTCCCTTTATTTTTGACACGTTCTGCTTTGCATTGTGTCATTGACCTCTTCCACGTCCAACACCAGTATTATCAACCGGGGCACTTTGTAATTGGTGGAATCACTTCACAATTCTTTTCCCCCAGCTTTTCAATAGACTTCAGGGAGAAGCCAAAGAAAACACCTGCTGATGAATATACGTAAGGAAATATTTTTATTTTTCGGGGGGGGGGGGAGCTCCTGGTTATGTAAGTAAATAATAAAAAACTAGATAATTTTCTTTATATAGAATAGTTTTTATTTGGTTTTAAAAATATATATACTTCTAACAAAATCAATTACAAATTCATATAAAGAGATTATTCTGAATCTCACAACTTCCCCCATCCTCTCCATGGCTCCTAATGTCAACATTTACAACTGAATATCCATCTGTTATTCTTTTTTTTATTCCCAAAGTCTTTATTACTTTATAAATCAGATTAAAATCCTGCTAATGTTTTCTTCTGTTTACAATGGTCTCCTAAATAAATTATAATTTCCCCCCATTCTTTTTAAAAGTTCTTGTCCTCTTGGTTCCTGAGCTTTCCGGTTAGTTTTGCCATTTCAGCATACTCCATCAACTTGGTTTGCCATTCTTCCCTAGTCGGGATTTATTCTTATTTTCACCTCTGGGCTAATAACATCTGAGTGGCTATTGTCGCATACATAAATAGTCTTTTCTGATCCTTTGGAATCTCAGTACTTATAATTGCTAATAAAAAAGCTTCCAGGTTTTCAACAAACATTCTTTTAAACTTTTTCTCAATTCATTATATATCATATCCCAGAAAGTTTTTATTACCTTACATGACACCACATATGCCATACTTTCCACTCTGTTCTACACATAGAGGTCATAAGAACTAGCAAATGTAAGAAAGGCCAAGGACCCATATAGCCCCACGCTATGATCTCACAGCAGCCAACCAGATGGCCACGATAAACCCACAAGTAAGTCCTGAGCATTACAGCAGTCTTCTCAGCTCCCATTACCAGGAACTGGGATTCAAAGGCATAGTGCCTCCAATGGTGGGGAGAGAACATAGCCACTGTGGTTAGCAGCTACCTCCCTTGTTGTTGTTGTTGATGATGATGATGCTGCTGCTGCTGCTGTTTTAATCTTCATTTAAAGCCATATAAGTTGTTGGCCATTGCTAACTCTTGTGGGAGTAAATTTCATCGTTTACCTAAGTGTTTACTTTCTTTTGTCTCCCCTGGATCTTTCAAAATTCAATTTCATTGCATGTGCTCAGATTATAATCTCATGGGATAATGTGTGTATTTGTGTGTGTTTATCCACTTTCAAAACATGAGGTCTGTCCAGCAGAAGCAAGACAGAAGCAGGAAAACCCACCACATGCATAATCTCTCTATTGTTTCAGCGCATTGCCAAAGAACTACCAGCATGTCCTTTCCTTAGTCTTTGCAGTGAATGAGGTCAACGAGAACCCCAACATTTTATCCAACATCACTTTGGGGTTCCAGATCTATGACAGCTACTGTGATGCAAAGATGACTTATCAGAATACGTTGAACCTCATCTCTCATCATAGGAAAACCATCCCCAACTACAAGTGTGGTGTTGAGAAGAACCTGGTAGCTGCCATTGGGGGCCTTGACTCTGAAACTTCAAGCCACATGGCCTCCATCTTGGAGCTTTATAAGATTCTACAGGTAGGAAGAGTGTGGCTGGAATGAAGACTCCACAACTGTTGTGTATGATTTAGTCTTAGTGTATATTCTCAGGGCATTGGGAGGGGAGAAGGAAAGGAGAATGTTTTTTTGGCAGGCTAAAACAAATATTTCTTGCTTAATTATTTATTAAATTAAAGAATAATAATAAAACTACCCTGTTCTTTCAGCATTCAGTATGCCATGACTAGAAGAAATTAAGATCAATTCCCTTAGTAGGCCACTGAGGGTGTATGGTATGAAGAAATCAGAATTTTAAACTGTATGACAAATTTTTTCAAACATCAGGTTGGGATCCACCAGTGGATTGTCCTCAGTGGCAAAGCCAGACCAGTTCCCCCTCTCTTGCCATGACAACACCCTTAGGTTGGATCACTGTCAATGTGGTTTGGAGACAGGGAAGGTTTATGGGAAGAGATGTTAATGTTGGGTGGGTATTGGAATTAAAGGAAATTGGAACGTGGGATAAAAGATTAATATTTATTAGTAAATAAATCTATTAGCAAATATATATTAAGCTCAGAACACAAAGGAAATGGATAAGTGAGTTTTAAAAAAATCATAAGCAAGAAGTGAGTGTAAAGTGATCAGGGAGGAGGGATGAAAGAAACTGAAAGTATATGGTTGAGTGGATGAAAAAGATATACCATAGATTCCAGCGTATAAGATGAATTTTTAACCCCAGAAAATCCTCTAAAAAGTCGGGGGTCATCTTATACACCGGATATGGGTTCACTGGGCAGCAGCAGTGGGCGGCAGGCTCTGCGTTGGGAGGAAGCTGCCCAGCGATAATAAGCCGGCTTCGCTGGGCGGCTTCTTCCCAATGCGGAGCGGAGCCCGCTGCTCACTGCTCCTGCTCAGCGAAGCTGCTGAAGCTGCCAAAGCCAGCTTAGCATCGCTGGACAACTTCACTGGACAGCTTTCTCCCGGCATGGAGACCACCGCCCACTGCCGCTGCCCAGCAAAGCTGCCGCATATAAGCAGCGGCCAATTTGTGGGGTCGTCTTATACGCCCAGTCACCTAATACGCCGGAATCTATGGCAAGTGGTGTGTGAAAAGAGAATGTAATATGAAATGACTTTGAGGAGCATGTGGAGCTGGGAATGGAAAAAATATAAAATCATATGTTTTATCAACTTAAAACCCCTGGATCAGGAAATTCTCCCTAAAATAGATTAACTGAGTCGCAAAATCTCCATAACAAATGTTTGTGCATAGTGTAGAGGAAAGCTGAGCTACGGAACCCATTTTTTCAGAAGGAAAATACTGTGAAAAAGAATTCAACCATTTTCAGAGATGAATTAGTTATCTGTAGAAAATCATGTCAGGAATTTCCAGCTGATTATGCCAAACTCTGCCTCTGGCTAACTATCATACGTCTAATGGGCCTCAGTAATTTCCACCCATGTAAGTGGGCCCTGTGGTTAGGAAAAATGAGAAAGTTTGACAAACCATGCTTTAGAAGATTCTACAAATTTTGCTCTGAAGTATCACATGGAAATCAGCTCTTTTTCCTGCAAGGCAGACCTCCCAGCACCATTTTATGTGTGCTGTAAACAGAAGGAAAGGTGTAGAGGTGAAGAGCTAGGTTGGTGTGATGAAAACGCACCAAAATCCAATCCAGCACTCACCATAATGCATTTGCACTGTTCCAACCTCTCTCCCTTCCTTTTTGCCCTCAATGTACAAGATGCCAAATAAGCTCCCCTGACCCACTCCACAAGCCACTACTGCCTATAAGACATGGTAAGAGTAGGAAAATGAGGAGCAGGGATGCAGAAAAGCAAATTCAAAAAATAATCCTTAAACTCAGAAAGTTATTGAACTCAGCAAGAATAAAAAACCTCAAGAAACATAAATGTCCTACCTGGTTCTTCGCTAGATCACCTATTCTTCATTAACTCCAGCTGTGAGTAAAAAAGACCGTATTTCTTCGTTGTACCAAATGGCCCCCAGTGAAGAACATCAATACACTGGCATTGTTCAGCTTCTTCTCTATTTCCAGTGGAAGTGGGTTGGGATATTTGTCACAGCTGACGATAAAGGAGAAACGTTTGTGAAAATGTTGACACGCCAGCTTTCCCAGAATGGCATCTGTATAGCTGTCACTGAGAGAATGGTAACCAACAGGGGTTTTGATGATACTGGGTTGATAGAGAAATGTCAGAATATGGCTGAGTTCCTAAGCAAAACAAATGTCAATGTATTTGTTGTCAATGCAGACAAAAACACCAAGACAGGTTTGCAATGGCTGCTACTGATAGGTAGAATGATGAGTATGAGTCCCATAAACAAAGTGTGGGTTATGACCGCCGACTGGGATTTCTCTTCAGAGCCATACCACAAAGATCTGGATATACAAAACTTCCATGGTGCCTTATCCTTTGCCATTCATTCCAGTGAGGTTAAGGAGTTCCACCGTTTCCTCCTGAACCTAAATCCCCACTCTGAGGCCGATGGCTTTATCAGGTTGTTCTGGCAACAGGCATTTGGTTGCCAGTTTCTAGATGTGGAAACGGAGGAGGAATTCTGCACTGGTGAGGAGAAGCTGGAGAGCCTTCCTGGGGCTTTTTTTGAAATGCAAATGACCAGCCAAAGCTACAGCATCTACAATGCCGTCTATGCTGTGGCACATGCTTTGCATGCCATGTTGGCATCCAGAACCAAACAGGGAGAGATGGTGCTTGGTAACTATCTGAGATCTCAAAACCAATATTTCCAGGTAATGTCTAACATAGTTTGTCAAGGAATACACACTTGCATTGGTTTGGTGAAATTCAATAAGCAGTTCAAAAGCTTTTGTAAAAAGAGTTGAATGGAAATGTTGAGCTTAGGTTGGATGGATATGGATTGAGGATTAAATCTGTAAATTAGAATTTAAGCCTCCTATCCGACATGTGTGGGAGAAAAAAGATGGCAAGGAGGCTGTGAAGCTAGGAATTACCAAGTTACATATTTTATCTCTGTTTATTTGTGATCTGCTGATCTTTCCTCACTTTCTACCTGTTGCTAAGAATAAACCAGGCAAATTTGTAAAAGTAAAAATGTTTACTTACATTGAATGAAGGCAGCTACTACCTCTAGGTAAAAAATGCTTCTTTTAATTACGAAATACAAAATTAGTTTCTGAAATGGAATCTAGGCAGGTATGTCTCCCCTGAAAACTCAAGGGGAGCTTCAACAAATAGTATGAATTGATCCCAGCAAGAGAAAAAAGAAGTTTTGTAGTGTATTCTCTATTTTTACCAAATCTACCATTCTCTTTCTTCGTCTGTAGCTTCAACCTTTCCTGAGGAATATCTTGTTTAACAACAGTGTTGGGGACACTGTGTTTTTTAATGAGAAACGTGAGCTAGAAGGTGGATTTGATATTATCAACTGGGTGACTTTCCCAAATAAGTCCTTCTTAAGAGTGAAAGTTGGGAAAGTGGATCCCCAAGCACCACTGGGCAGTGATTTCTCCATTGATGAAAAGATCATTACATGGCACCAGAGTTTTAACCAGGTAGGACCCAATTGCAGCTTCTGAGGTCTATAGGTAGACATTCACCAGATTTGTTTCATCATCATGTACACCCTGCTGAATGAGTTCCTTTTAGCTGCATTGAACCAAGATTTGTTGACCAGTGGTAGGGGTGTTGGTGTAGTGTGGCTAGCAGCAAAGGGTTAGAACCTTTGTAGTCATTCTGTGGAAGAACTTTTTAGGTGTCAGGGAATTATAAATTAATAAAAAATATAATTAATTTTTGGTGTGTTCTTTGGCTCCCATATACCTCTGCCTACGCACTGTATTTCTGCTGTTGCCATGTTTGAGATTTCATTTTTCTTAAGGTGGATTGTGAAATAATAATCCAATAATGAAATAAATGTTTTATAATGAGAACATCCACATGCAACAAGCACAGAAAGCATGCAATACAAAATTGTGCTTCGTAGGAATCTTTAGTTTCATTTCTGTGATTCATTTCTTTAAAGGAACCAAGTTGCCACTTCTCATCTTTAAAAACATATTATAAAATCTACACATATCAGTAGATATTCACATTTTCTTTGCCTGAACCATTTACTGGCTGAGTGGCTCAGCTGGTTAGAGCAAGGTGCTGATAATGCCAGGGTCACAGGTTTGATCCCTTTATAGGACAGCTGTATATTCCTAAATTACAGGGGGTTGGAATACATGATCCTCAGAGCCCCCTCAAACTCTATGATTCTATTATCTTTGTTGGGTTGAATATGCACAAATATTGGTGATTGTCACAACCATTGTAAAGTTAGTGACATTAATTAATTAATTAATTTTTTCAAAATACCCTGTTGGGTGCCTTATTTCAATGCAGCAGCCTGTTGATGAAAATGCAAAGAACAAACATAGAATAGAATACATGCAATACCTTCTGTTTTATGGACAGGTGATGCCCCTTGCCTTGTGCAATGACCACTGCCATCCAGGTTACAGCAGACAAAGGAAAGAGGGGGAACCATTTTGCTGCTATGATTGTACTCCATGTCCAGAAGGGAAGATTTCAAACCAGACAGGTAGGGACTGTATGATATAGTATATCAACTATATTGAGAACATGTTTTTTGTTAGCTATTTATGAACAAATAGATGCCTTACAAAATATTTGAAGATATACCTTTACTTGTCTGGTTTTCAACTGTTGAACAAGTATCATTCATTCATATATATATATGAATAAGACACCTTACGCAAGACCTGAAGAGAAACATTACTTGTCTGGTTGTCAACAGTTGAAAATCAAGTATTATTCTCATATATATATATATATATATATATATAGAATGTGCTTCTGTCCCTTGAGCCCAAGAGAGGGTTTAGTCCTTTTTGTTTTCAAAGCTCCTTCATAGGAGTCAGTTTGTACTTGACGGTTGGTTGATTCTTCTCTTCGTTCTCTTTGTTGCATCTCTGACTGAGAGCGTGGGAGTTTGGTGACTTCAAGCAGACATTGTCTGGAGGGGTTTTTGAGGACGGGCAAGATTTGGATTATTAGCTTATGGAAGTTTTGTATAATGCAACAAAGAGAACTAAGAGAAGAATCAACCAACCGTCAAGTACAAAATGACTCCATCTTTCCCCAATACCATTTATTATTTGTGAAATATATTTACTGTTCTTAAACCAAGGTACCACTGTACAAGTGTTTTATCATAAACAATCTTATAAATTGCTAACCAGCATATCTTCTGCTTACCTCCACACCTGAAAACTTCATGGATTGCATGGACACCAACTTACTTGATCACCAAAATTCTAGAATTTTCAATGTAATAGTAATTTTTTTTTACCATATTCCTAGGTGTGTTAACTGGATTATATTAGCACCTTTAGTCTTCCTTTGACATTAAGCTTCCTTTCTGGGATAGAAAATACTCTGAATATTGGTAAATGAAACTTCCTATTTTATAACCATTTCTACTGGTAAGCTGTGAAACATTAATGTTTAATTATTATTTCTCCATTCAGATAGCTTTGAAAGTTCTTATTGATGAACTAGGGATTTCTCCCCTCTGAACACACCCAAATTCCAATTCTACGCACGTGTAAACACAAACATACATTTATGGAGCTTATCATTTAGATTTAATTCTGATTTAATTATCCACTGGAAAGAATCTTCCAAAAATAGCTTACCATAAAGACAAAACATGTTAACACTCTAACAATTTCCTGAAAAAGATAATGTTTTGTATTGTGTATACTGTAAATTACATTGAATTATAATACAGTTTCCTGATCCTAGACCATAAATATTTGTATCTCAGTGAGACTGAAAATACTATAACTGTAATCTTGATTTCTTTATACTGCAAGATATGGATGACTGCTTCCAGTGCCAAGAAGATCGGTATCCTAACCAAGAGAGAAACCAGTGCATCAGCAAGAAAGAAAACTTCCTATCTTATGAAGCACCTTTAGGCATCAGTTTGGCTCTTTTGGCTCTGGCTTTTTCTGCAACTACAGCTTTGGTGTTTGGAATCTTCATCAAACATCAAAACACTCCCATTGTCAAAGCCAACAACCGGAATCTCACCTACACCCTGCTCATCTCCCTCCTGCTCTGCTTCCTCTGCTCCTTGCTATTCATAGGGCGCCCCCAGTTACTGACCTGCAATCTACGACAAACTGCCTTTGGTATTATCTTCTCAGTGGTTGTTTCTTCTGTTTTGGCTAAAACCCTCACGGTGGTTCTGGCTTTCATGGCCACCAAACCAGGATCCAAGATGAGGAAATGGGTGGGGAAAAGATTTTCCACCTCTATTGTTCTTGGTTGTGCTTCTATTCAGGCAAGTATTTGTATAGTATGGCTCTGTACTGACCCTCCTTTCCCAGATCTGGACATACACTCTCTGCCTGAAGAAGTCATAGTGGAATGCAATGAAGGCTCAGCCAACATGTTCTACTCTGTTCTTGGTTACATGGGATTGCTGGCTCTTGTCAGCTTCATTGTGGCTTTCTTTGCTCGGAAGCTGCCGGACACTTTTAATGAAGCCAAATTTATCACTTTCAGCATGTTGGTGTTTTGCAGTGTGTGGCTTTCTTTTGTTCCATCCTACTTAAGCACCAAAGGGAAGTACATAGTGGCTGTGGAGATCTTCTCCATCTTGGCCTCCAGTGCTGGAATCTTGGGTTGTATCTTCTCCCCAAAATGTTATATCATTGTCTTCAAGCCTGAACTCAACTCAAAAGGGCAGCTAAAAAAGAGAAATAAGTAACAATCTAACTATTAAAATCATTATAGTGGATAACCTTTTACATGTTTTAAGGTTTGTGTGTTTGGGAAGGGTTCAGCTTTCAGGTTCTCTTGATATAGATGTTGCTTACTGTCAGAACTGCAGTTGTCAAAATGTGGAAAACCTTACAGTAATTGCAACCTGCTCCAGTATAAAAATATGTGTTGTTTAGTACTAGTTGAAAGATTTGCTCTGGCAAATGATGTTGGATTAAAATAAGTGGCTTCCAGCTGTTTAGGATTTAAAATTATGGATAGATTAAGATTAAGGATTAGGATTAAAAAGTTTAAGGAAATGGAAATTTGGTTTTTAAAAAGGTAAAACTTTAATGTTATATTATATTAAGAGTTAAGATTGGGATTAAAAAAGAGGGAAAGAAATTGCTGGACAAACAATTTGAACTGGAATACAAAAGAGGGAGGTACGAGGAGGTCCAGAAAATAAGTAAATTTAAAAATGGAGATGAAAAAGTGATATTGTTTTTAATTGTTCTACTTTCTTTTTTGTCTTTTGTTTTTTTGTTCTTTTATTCTTTTTTCTGTTAGATTATGTATTGTGTATTTTTGAATTGTGTATTTCTTTTTTATGTTTTATGTTTAATCTTTTATTGAAACTTTAATAAATATCATTTTAAAAAAAAAGAAAGAAAGAAAGATTTGCTCATAAAAAAATATGTTTTCAAAAGCCGTGAATATCTTGAAAAATTCTGTGCAGTTTGGTGGTGTTTTATCATGTACAGAACACAAGAGAGACACAAAGGAGTCCCTTTCCATGGTACAACATGAAATTTGGCCTTCCTAATGATCTCAAGTATTCTACTTATCTAATTAAATCTCTTTCAGATATATTGCTTTTATGTATTTATATTTGTACTTCTACACCTAATATTTTTATTATATTGTTCTACTTGATTTACTTTGATTAATTATTATAGAACATGTGATAGTAGAGTTGGACGAGATCCTGAAGGTCATCCAGATCCAACCCCGGAATGCAGGAATCTCAGCTAAAGCACCCGTGACACATGGGCATCCAACCTCTGCTTTGAAACCTCCAATGAAGAAGAGCCCACTACTGCCTGAGGGAGTCCCTTCCACTGTCTAACAGCTCTTACTGACGAAAAGTTCTTCCTGATGTTTAGTCGTGGAATCTCCTTTCTTGTACAGTGGTACCTCGGGTTTCATATGCTTCAGGTTACATATGCTTCAGGTTACAGACTCCACTAACCCAGAAATAGTACTTCAGGTTAAGAACTTTGCTTCAGGATGAGAACAGAAATTGTGCTCCTGCGGCGCAGTGGCAGCAGGAGGCCCCATTAGCTAAAGTGGTGCTTCAGGATTTTTATATTTTTTAAATGATATTTATTAAAATTTCAAAAGAAAAAGATCACATTAATAAGAAATTTAACACTAAACAAGAAAAATACAAAATACAAAGTAAAAACAAGAAAAAACACGTAAAAACAATTCCATCTTTTCATCACTTCTTTTACATTTACTTGTTTCCCGGACCTCCTCATACCTCCCTCTTTTGTATTCTAGTTCAATTTGTTAGTCCAGCGATTCCTTTCCCTCCTTTTTAATCCTGATCTTTAATCTTGATATATTATAACATTAAATTTTTAGATCTTAAAAACCAATTTTTCCATATTCTTTTATACCATTACCGCTAGAAATCGCTTAACTTCAATCTGTCATCATTCTAACATTCATTAATTTTGAAATATTTCTGTAAGTAGTCTTTAAATTTCTTCCAATCTTCTTCCACCGACTCTTCTCCCTGGTCTCAGATTCTGCCAGTCATTTCCGCCAATTCCATATAGTCCATCATTTTCATCTGCCATTCCTCCAGTGTGGGTAGATCTTGTGTCTTCCAATGTTTTGCAATAAGTATTCTTGCTGCTGTTGTAGCATACATAAAGAAAGTTCTGTCCTTCTTTAACACTGATTGGCCGACTATGCCCAGGAGAAAGGCCTCTGGTTTCTTCAAGAAGGTATATTTAAATACCTTTTTAATTCATTATAAATCATCTCCCAGAAAACCTTAATCCTTGGGCACGTCCACCAAAGGTGAAAGAATGTACCTTCAGTTTCTTTACATTTCCAACATTTGTTATCGGGCAAATGGTAGATTTTTGCAAGCTTGACTGGGGTTATGTACCACCTGTATATCATTTTCATAATATTCTCTCTTAAGGCATTACATGCCGTAAACTTAATACCTGTGGTCCACAACTGTTCCCAGTCAGCCATCATTATATTATGTCCAATGTCTTGTGCCCATTTAATCATAGCAGATTTCACCGTTTCATCCTGAGTATTCCATTTCAACAGCAAGTTATACATCTTTGACAAAATCTTAGTTTTGGGTTCTAGCAATTCTGTTTCTAATTTTGATTTTTCCACCTGGAAGCCAATTTTCTTGTCCAAATTGTATGCCTCCATTATCTGATAATAATGAAGCCAGTCTCGCACTTTGTTTTTTAATTTTTCAAAACTCTGCAGTTTCAATCTATCTCCATCTTGTTCCAAAATTTCCCAATATTTCGGCCAATTAACCTCCATATTGAGCTTTTTCAGAGCTTTCGCTTCCATCGGTGACAGCCACCTTGGTGTTTTATTTTCCAATAAATCCTTATATCTTATCCAGACATTAAACAATGCTTTCCTGACAATATGGTTTTTAAATGCTTTATGTGCTTTGACCTTATCATACCACAGATATGCATGCCATCCAAATACATTGTTAAAACCTTCTAAATCCAAAATGTCAGTGTTTTCAAGAAGCAGCCATTCTTTCAACCAGCAAAAAGCTGCTGATTCATAATAAAGTTTAAGGTCTGGCAGGGCAAATCCACCTCTTTCCTTTGCATCTGTTAATATTTTGAATTTTATTCTGGGCTTCTTGCCCTGCCAGACAAATCTAGAAATATCTCTCTGCTACCTCTTGAAACAGTCCATTTTGTCCACAATTTGCAATGTTTGAAACAAATACAACATTCTAGGCAATACATTCATTTTTACCGCAGCAATACGGCCCAACAGCGAAAGCTTCAAATTTGACCAAATTTCTAAATCTTTTTTCACTTCAGCCCAACATTTTTCATAGTTATCTTTAAATAAATTCCCATTTTTTGCTGTCATGTTAATCCCCAGGTATTTAACTTTCTTAACCACTGTTAAACCTGTCTCATTCTGAAACCTCTCTCTCTCCATTGGTGTTAAATTTTCTCTAAAACCTTAGTTTTTAACTTATTCAATTTAAACCCTGCAACTTGACCAAATTCTTGAATCAGTTCTAAAACCCTTTTGGTACTAGATTCTGGCTCCTGTAACGTCAGTACTAAGTCATCTGCAAATGCTCTCAATTTGTACTGTTTGGCTCCGACCTCTATACCTTTAACCAACTGGGCTTCAGGTTAAGGACAGTTTCAGGTTAAGAACGGACCTCCGGAATGAATTAAGTACTTAACCCGAGGTACCACTGTAACTTGAATCCATTCGTTTAGGTCCTACCCTCCAGAGCAACAGAAAACAAGCTTGCTCCAACTTCCATGTGACAGCCCTTAAGTTATTTGAAGATGGCAATTATATAAACATACTACAAAGATATTAAACATATCATGGCTAAACATACACAGCCCATTCAACTCTTTCTCCTAAGGCTTGGTTTCCAGACCCTTGATCATCTTGATTGCCCTACTCTGTACAAGCTCCACCTTGTCAACATCCTTCTTCCATTGTGGTGTCCAAAATTGGATACAGTAGTCCAAGGCAGAATAGAGTGATACTATTACTTCCCTGGGGACGCGGGTGGCGCTGTGGGTAAAACCTCAGCGCCTAGGACTTGCCGATCGCATGGTTGGCGGTTCGAATCCCCGCGGCAGGGTGCTCTCCCGCCGTTCGGTCCCAGCGCCTGCCAACCTAGCAGTTTGAAAGCACCCCCGGGTGCAAGTAGATAAATAGGGACCTCTTACCAGCGGGAAGGTAAACGGCGTTCCGTGTGCTGCGCTGGCTCACCAGATGCAGCTTGTCATGCTGGCCACGTGACCCGGAAGTGTCTGCGGACAGCGCTGGCTCCCGGCCTATAGAGTGAGATGAGCGCACAACTCTAGAGTCTGGCAAGACTGGCCCGTACGGGCAGGGGTACCGTTACCTTTATTACTTCCCTTGATATGGACCTTATACATTTGTTGACGCAGCCTAGAACAGAATTAGGTCTTTGCTGCTGCATCATACAGTTGACTCATGTTAAATTTCTTGTCCACCAAGACCCCTAGATCTTTTTCCCATGTACTGCTAGTAAGCTAGGTTTCCTCCATCTAATATTTGGGAACCTGGTTCTTATTATGTTATTCCTTATTGAAATTCATTTTGTAACTTGGGCCCAGTTCTCCAATGTGTTATGGTTATTTTGAGTTCTGATTCTGTCCTGTGAAAGCAACTGTCAAGCTTGCAATGCTTGTGTTGGTAGTGCTGTTCTCTCATAAGGAGTTCAAATTCCATAATTTGAATTGTATTGCAAATGATCCTGTTTATGTCCTACATACATGGCACCAGCCAGGTGAAATCTTTCTTGGTTGGATTGTGTCTTTTATTATCCTTTTCTGATGCTGACCTCAAGAGATCCCACATCTCAGGAGCATATTAATGTTCCACTGTAAGCCACTATCCCTCCCTCCTCCCTGATATGTGCTTTGATTATATTCCATAAGTGATTACAATTTTATCCTTATCAAAGGGTGTGTTTACTTTGAGGGGGCCCTGCCCCGTGATTGAAAAGGACTTTCACAACCATCTCAAGTATCTTGCCCCCACGCTGCCTTGCCCCTGTGATCAGGGGTGCCTGGGCAGTGTGACATCAGCAGGCCATGCACACATTCCGTGGGGTGTTCTGATGTCACTTGCACACACTGTGGGGTGTGTTGACATGTCATGCAGACGCCCCATGGCTTACGCATGGGTCACAACATGCTGAC